CATTATCTAATGCTGATGTAATAACATACACAAATAGTATTAAATAATTTTAAAAACTACAACTATACATTTAGTAGACGTAATTTTTTTTATTAACCTGTAAGTAATCATTAATTAATTATTTAACTTCAATAAAGAATGAGAGATAAGCGGGAAGCATTCTTTTAAATTCCAAAATATAATTATTAAAAGAAATATGAGAATCAATATAGTGTTTCAATGCGCTTAAAATGCGTATAAAAAATGAAAAGCTCAACGTAATCGAAAAGTTTGTACTACCTCATTATATTATATCATTGATTTACACCTAATTTCTGTACTTTTTTTTTAATCGGCTTAATGTTCGTAAGACTAGCGATTTCGATAATAATCGAACTGGTAATGTTATGTCCAAAACACGTCTTTCACATTATCAGTTTAAACTTCCCAGTTTTTAATAATTGTATTTTCATCTTGAAATCGAACGAGTGCTTGTGGCATGGCAATTATATTCACCAGGTAATAAAATGGTTGCTTATGAAAGTAGTAATCGATAATCTGGCAAAATACATCCGGCAAAATAATTTTAAATGTGTCGTATCGGCGCATTATTTTTCAATTAATTGCTTTATAACAAACCAATATATAATATATTTTAGTCTATAATATACTTTATAATCTTTTAATTTAAATTCCGCGATTTCTCAGCGCAGTGTAAATTTGGTGAACACAAACACATTATGATAATTCAAAAAATATCATATAAAAGAAGTCATTTTTGTTTGGATTATGAAACTATTTTCATTTTGGAATAATAAATAAAACAAAATTTCCTGCATTATAATCTGCTTATAATTTGGATTGTCAATTTCGTCGGTATATATTTATTTATCATCTTTATTCACGATTTAAATTTAGTTTCAAATACTTAAAAAATATACCATATAAACCGCTCTTTGACGGATACAATTAACACAGGAACGACTGCATAATCATAACCTAAATTCGGTATTTATTATCAATCCAAGTTACATTATGGCGAAGCCTTACATGTGCTTTGTGTAATGATTTGTATTTCCCAGTAGAATATATTATTGCTAGTCGGACGTCCTGATCTCTCGAAT